TCGCTGTGTGTATGGGGGGGGTCACAGGGAGTGAGGGGAGCCCCCCCCGGGCTCGCTGTGTGTATGGGAGGGTCACTGAGGGGAGCCCCCCCGGGCTCGCTGTATGGGGGGGGTCACAGGGAGTGAGGGGATCCCCCCCGGGCTCGCTGTGTGTATGGGGGGGTCAGTGAGGGAAGCCCCCCACGGCTCTCAGTGGTTCCCGTGTGCTAGGTTGGGGGCTGGGCCGGGGGCGGCGCTGGCCGCCAGTTGCTCCCCTTCCCCTCCCTCCCTCGGCAGCGCGAGCCAGTGCGTTTGGGCGGGCTGGCGGGGGTGGGAGCCGAGCCGGGGCGGCCGGGCGGCGATTTGCATGAAAGGCAGACTGGGAATGAGCTGGAGCGGCCGCCTCTCCGCACACGCAGCGCGGGGGTGGGGGCCGGAGGAGTCTCCGCCTCAGGGGAACGCGGGAGAAGTCGGGGCAAAGTTTGCCGCCGCCAGCCGGGGCTGCTGAGGGCGTCGCGGGGCCGGGCTCCGAGCGAAGCCAGGCGCCAGGCTCCAGCCCCGCTGCCCTCGGCCCTGTGCGCTGCTGCCCGGCGGAGGGGGGGCCCAGGGGGCCGCCGCCAAGTTGCGCGGGGGCTCGGGCGGGCTCGGAGCGAGGGGCCGCCCGCGGCGGGAGGCGGCAGCGGCTGGGTGGGGCGCTGCCTCCCGGAGCGCCGGGCAGGGGAGCCAGCATGTCCTCCATCCTGCCGTTCACTCCCCCCATCGTCAAGCGGCTGCTGGGCTGGAAGAAAGGGGAGCAGAACGGGCAGGAGGAGAAATGGTGCGAGAAGGCGGTGAAGAGCCTGGTGAAGAAGCTGAAGAAGACGGGGCAGCTGGACGAGCTGGAGAAGGCGATCACCACGCAGAACATCAACACCAAGTGCATCACCATCCCTAGGTAGGGAGAGGGCCCCCGGGGGGGGGCCTCCACCCAGCCACACAGGCCCCCTCTCTGCGCGCACAGACCGAGCAGGGGCACCGCAGGGAGAAAGAGGTGGCACCCACCCACAGACAAAATCAGGGGCGCCCAGGCGGAGACATACGTGCTCCCACAGAGAGACACATGTACCCAGAACGGGGGGGGGAGGGACACAAAGAGAGACCTGCACAGGCTGCTGGGCACAACGTGTGGGAATAGGCACCTTCATGTACACGTGCCCCAGGCAGAGACACCTGTGTACCCTGAGGGGGGCATGCACAGATCAGGCATGGGTATGATATATGTTTGCCCACAGCGAGAGAGACCTACATCCATACACAATCATGGGTGTCCTTGCAGAAGCATGTATTCACACGCAGAGGTAAGGAATGGACACCCACAAGAGACATGCATAAACATATGGGCACCCACATAAATAGGCGCATTCTCTTTTATGCTTACGCATAGCTACCTGCCAGTACACTGAGATGTGAATAACTGTATGTCCGTCCATTTGGACACGCATGGCTGAGACACATGTACCTGTAAATAGATGCAGACAGACGCATGCACCCACTCATGTTTGTGTGCATGTTCTAGACGTTAAGCATACACCTAGGGTACTTTGAAAAGCAATACTACTACAGGTTTGTGTTAGAGGAATTTTGCTTTTCTCTCCAGTCAACTGCAATAGAAGTTTGGTTTTGTATTCCTTTCTTACAAACTATTGCAGAATACTTTGCATATTTAAAATTAAGAGGTCACAGAATTGTATTACAATCTGTTAACAGAGGAGACAGAAATTAAGAAGGGAACGCAAGAAAGGAAAATGTTTTCAGCTAAGAGTTGAAAAAAGATGGAAGTATTCTGGATTAGTTATACTCATTGGTGATATTCTCTGTTTCATAGCCAAAAGTTTCACGCTGCTTTCTGTTACTGAATGAGAGAAATTAGTTTGTTTACGTCTCTTGCTCTGTTCAGTGGGATATGTTGCTGAAGAAGTGATTTAGGACTCTTGGATACATGTTTCCAGAGTAGGTGGTTGTAACCACCCCCCCCCCCAAAACAAAACAAAAACAAAAAACACACAACCAAGGAACGCAATTTGCACAGCTAAATGGGATTGCTGTTTGGGGGAGGAGTCATGTATATTGAATAACTGATTTTTTTCCATGTAGATTAATTCTTTATGCAGTATTTTAGGATTGATTCAGTATGATTGCACACTGGACTCATCGTAATGCACAGGAGAGGACAAGTATTTAAATGATTACATATGTTTGATTATCTGTGAGGAAATCAAATCACAGAACATTTAATCGCTGAAATTTTGTTGATTTCTGTAAGCTCATTCAGATATCTGGCATTTTTAGTTTATTGTTTTTTGGAATAATACAGCATTGCTTTTTAAACAAATGTTTAAGTTAATCAAGAACAGTTCAATGCTGTATAATTGTATGCTTCTGTGTGTTGATTCTCTCTTTCATATGTGCGCATGCACCCATATACCCTTGGTTGTCAGAATTATTTAATATGCAGTGGCTAGTACTCACAAAGACACATCAGTTGTATGAACCACTGAAACAAGTAGTTTTAAAATGTTATGTAGAATTGGAACTCTTCCCCCCCCCCCCCCAGAAGAATACCTCCAAGCCCACCAAATACAGTTTTTCAAGATTGTTCGATATCTGCTCAGCTCTTCTCTACTGAATTACACTAGGTTAGAGTTTAGTGTAAATTCAGAATGACTCCACTGAAGTCCGTGAGACTACCCTGGGTTCTCTGTCCTTAAGCCTATATTTTGAAACTCATGGTAACCAGCTAAAGCTCTTCCCTGAAGTATTTGCTTACCTTAACCCCAAAAGTTCTGCTACTTATGTGACTTGCTATGTGTGTTGGGTTTCTGGTTTTAGTAAGGACTGACCAGTGCAGAACTGGGAGGGGAATCACCTGAAATTTACATCATTAACAGCACAGATGTTTGGGAAGGATTGGGAGTCATTTTCTGATATATTGTAATTCCAGGGAAACAAATAGGGATAGGGTGGGTGGGCAAACTTGTTTAAATTATTTCTGTGAAAAGGGAGTTTAAAATTAAGCATCAGCAAAAACAGTAAACATCACAAGCCATCAACATTACATGAGAACATTCTAGCTAATGCTAAGCATGCAGAGGCTAACGCTTATTTATATCTTACAGTTCTGCAAATTAACTTTCACCCGCTAAAGTAAGCCCCCCAGCAACCATTACAATCTTTTATGTATGCTGACACGAGGCCCAATCCTGCAGTCCTTAATCCTTTGCAGCAAAGGGAGTTTTCCCTGAGTAAGCCTGGTAGCATTTGCCTCTTTCAGCAATAGTTAATAGCTAATACAAAAGATTAACCTGCCCCTTTAGGTTCTTTTGCAATATGTTCTATAATAATAATAATCCCCATAATCAGGTCGGCCTGTGTTGGGCACTGTACAGACACCTAGTAAGAGACAGTCGCTGCCTGGAGGAGGTTACAGTCAAGGGATGGAGGGGAAATGGCAGTATAGAGAGGTGAAATGACTTGCCCAAAGTTACACAGAAGGTCAGTATGTAGTGGTGTTATAGCTGTGTTGGTCCCAGGATAATAGAGAGACAAGGTGAGGTAATATCTTTTATTGGACCAACTGTTGGTGAGAGGGACAAGCTTTCAAGCTTACACAGAGCTCTTCTTCAGGTCTGGGAAACTAAATCAAAGTGCCATTGCTAAATATAAGGTCAATGACAGAATTAGAATTATAATCCAAGTCTCCTGACTCCCAGTCCAGTGCCTTATCCACTTGAGCACACTGCCTGTACTAAAATATCATTGGATAAGCCTTCCAGGCCATTTGTCTCTAATCCTCAGAAGGCAGCTTCTCTGAGTATTTTCATTATAAATAACTTTGGATACATTATTTCACTAGTTTGGAAAACAAATACTTTGGGAATAAATGGGAGGACAACCGTTAGGGGTTAGATCACACCATGCATTGGTTATAGTGCATCAGTGAACCATATTCCATTGGAGGTAATACAGGGATGAATCTGGCCCAGTGAGAATAGGTTTAGTCCAAAATTAGCTGTCATAATCATGACATGAAACAAAGTTCCAGGCTGAAGATTGCTTGGGGCCTTCAGAAATGCTGCTCTTGGGAACTCTGAGCAGATGGCTATCTATGAGCTGAGGGGTGAAAACATTATCAACTGCAAATTCCTGATCCCAGTTGATATTAGCTAGCACTTTGGCTGTAGTGACTGTGCAGTTTTTTAGAAAAAACGCTTTGAGCCAGATTTGTTAAGGGTGCAATACCAAGAAGCTAGAGAATCCAATTAATCGCTAGTGTATCTTTTTATTTTAAGCTTGTGTGCTGTCTGTGTCTTTGTCCACGTCCTGAGGAAGAGCTCTGTGTAGCTCGAAAGCTTCTCTCTGACCAACAGATATTGGTCCAATAAAATATATTACCTCGCCCACCTTGTCTCTCTAATATCCTGGGACTGACACAGCGACAACACTGCATATGTATGTTATTGTGTGCCTACTAAATTAACTACAGCTTTACAGCTTGTCATTTGCTGGTTGTTGGCTGGCATGGATTATTCTTCAAGAGATCTATCTTTAATATGATAGCTCTGGTGAAAGAACCTGTGGTAGCAGGAAGAGGGCTGGAGAGACCATTGCAGGGTTGAGAGAGAGAGAAAGCAAGAGAGTGCGTGGAACAGGCATTCAATTCAGCCTTAAGAATCTTAAGAAGTGATCTCGGGCCACTCACATACAGGTCCACTGTCTCCTTGGCCTGCTGGTGCTTTCTCCCGTCCTCACCTGGCTCCCTTGCAGATTAGCTTATTTAAAGGGGCTTTGTCCAACCTTCTCTCACTGACCACAGCCCTTCCTCCTCCAAAGGGGAGTTTCCACAGCATGAAGGGGGCTCTGCTTGAGAATGTATTAATTTTCAAGTGGATTCCCAGTGGCACGGCTGGGGGAGCAATGTACATAACACCCCAGGCCCTTGGTCATCTTCTCCTACGTTTGAATCCCCGACCAAAGAGGTCTTCAGTCAGGCTGAGAAAGGGGGAAGGTGTTATGTAGGTGACCTTCTGCATGCAGAGGTGGAAATCTGTGCATTAATAATCAGATATGGTCACACAAAGCATGCCCTTGCTCTCCATTCACTTAACCCTAAGTACATTAGGCTTTCCCTCTCAAACACTCCCCTTCTCCCTTCCCCCCCCCCCCCCCCCGCTTCAGCACTGACATCTAGCATGGCTTCAGATGTGTTAGCCTGCATCTTAATGAGCATTAAGAAGGCTTTTAATTCATGTTAAACTGACATTATTCAAAAACGTGCCCCTTTTACCAGAACATAACAAGCTTCTTGTGATAGTTTTGCAAATGTCTGGGGTAGAATGGGCATTCATGAGTCCTTTTGACCTCTCCAAAGTTGTATGCTACTGGAATACCTTCCTTGAACACAGACGGGTTCAAGGTTATGATGTTGCTGCTTTGCTCTGAAAATAGGTTTGAATTTGTCCTTCCTACCAGCCACCAGTTGGCATCACATTTTCAAATTCTTGGTGGCTGTAAGTATCGCTCTCTGAAATCAAAGAGTGTTGGTGTGGAATCGGATGGCATACAACTACCCTTGCTGTACCCTCTGCAGAACGCAAACGTCAACTTAAACTTCATCCTCGGGGAGAAGAGCAACAAGTTCATAAGTCTATTCCTGAACCTGTGATCTGCACTGGAATGAATTGCATTGTTTGTGCACATGCCAAGCATTTCAACACTCAACCCTAGAAACAAAAGGAGTTAGGGTGAATTGTAAGCATTTAATTCTTAAAATTACTAAATATGAGCGTACTGTGGAAATCTGCAATTTGTGGCAGATACTGATTAATTATTAGGAGTCATACAGTATACACATTTGTCTGAATGAGAGGAGACAATAAATGCCTTACTATTTCAAGA